TAAAGATTAGAGCAGAAAAAAATAAAGTCAAGAAGAATAAAACAATAGAAAGAATCAATGAAAGCAAGAGCTGGTTCTTCAAAAAAATTAACAAAATAGATAAAACTCTAGCCAGGCTTATCAAGAAAAAAAAGGGAGTCTACACACATAAACAGAATCAGAAATGAGAAAGGAAAAATCACTACAGATACCACAACAATACAAAGAATTATTAGAGAATGCTATGAAAAATTATATGCTAACAAATAGGATAACCTAGACAAAATGGACACCTTCTAGAAAAACACAGCCTTCCAAGACTGACCGAGAAAGAAACAAAAAATCTGAATAGACCAATTACCAGCAATGAAATTGAATTGGTAATCAAAAAACTACCTAAGAACAAAACTCCTGGACCAGATGGCTTCACTGCTGAATTTTATCAAACATTTAGTGAAGACCTAATAGCCATCCTCCATAAAGTTTCCCAAAAAGTAGAAAAGGACAGAATACTTTCAAACTCATTCTATGAGGCCAGCATCACTCTAATACCAAAACCAGGCAGACACCACACACAAAAAAATTACAGACCAATATACCCAATGAACATACATGCAAAAATCCTCAACAAAATGTTAGCAAACCAAAATCAAAAATACATCAAAAGATCATCCATCATGATCAAGTAGGATTTATTCCAGGGATTCAAGTATGGTACAACATTCAAAAATCCATCAACATCATCCATATCATCAAGAAAAAGAAGGACAAAAACCACATGATCATTTCCATAGATGCTGAAAAAGCATTCAACAAAATTCAGCATCCATTCATGATAAAAATTCTCAACAAAATGGATATAGCAGGCAAGAATCTCAACATAATAAAGGCTATATATGGCAAACCCACAGCCAATATCATACTTAATAGTGAGAAGCTGAAAGCTTTTCCTTTAAGATCGGGAACAAGACAAGGATGCCCACTCTCCCCACTTTGATTCAACATAGTACTGAATGTACTAGACATGGCAATCAGACAACACAAAGAAATAAAAGGCATCCAGAATGGTAAGGAAGAAGTTAAACTGTCATTGTTTACAGATGACATGATATTATACATAAAAAACCTAAAGAATCCACCCCAAAACTACTAGAACTAATAGCTGAATTCAGCATAGTTGCAGGATACAAAATTAATACACAGAAATCTGTTGCATTCTTATATACTAATGATGAACTAGCAGAAAGAGAAATCAAGAAAACAATTCCATTCACAATTGCATCAAAAAGAATAAAATACCTAGGAATAAACCTAAGCAAGAAGGTGAAAGACCTACACTCTGAAAACTACAAGACACTCATGAAAGAAATTTAAAAAGACACTAATAAATGGAAATGCATCCTATACTCATGGACAGGAAGAATTAATTTTGTCAAAATGGCCATCCTGCCTAAAGCAATCTATAGATTCAATGCAATCCCTATCAAAATACCAATGGCATTCTTCAATGAACTAGAGCAAATAGTTCTAAAATTCACATGGAACCACAAAAGACCCCAAATAGTCAAAGCAATCCTAAGAAGGAAGAATAAACATGGGGGAATTATGCTCCCTGACTTCAAGCTCTACTACAGAGCCACAGCAATCAAGACAATTTGGTATTGGTATAAGAACAGACCCATAGATCAACGGAACAGAATAGAGAGCCCAGATATAAACCCCAGCACATATGGTTAATTAATATGATAAAGGAGCCATGGAGATACAATGGAGAAATGACAGCCTCTTTAACAACTGGAGTTGGCAAAACTGGACAGCTACATGTAAGAGACTGAAGGTGCATTACTGTCTAACTCTATACACAAAAGTAAACTCAAAATGGATCAAAGACCTGAATGTAAGTCATAAAACCATAAAACTCTTAGAAGAAAACATAGACAAAAATCTCTTGAATATAAACATGAGCAACTTTTTTCTGAACACATCTCCTTGGGCAAGAGAAACAAAAGCAAAAATGAATAAATGAGACTACATTAAGCTGAAAACCTTCTGTACAGCAAAGGACACCATCAGCAGAACAAAAAGGCATCCTACAGTGTGAGAGAATATATTTGTAAATGACATATCCAAAAAGGGATTGACATCCAAAGTATATAAAGAGCTCACATGCCTCAACACCCAAAAAGCAAATAACCCAATTAAAAAATAGATGGAGGATATGAATAGACACTTCTCCAAAGAAGAAATTAAGATGGCCAAGAAGGACATGAAAAGATGGTCCTCATCACTAATTACCAAGGAAATGCAAATTAAAACCACAATGAGATACCATCTCACACCAGTTAGGATGGCCAACATCCAAAAGACAAGAAACAACAGATCCTGGTAAGGATGCAGAGAAAGGGGAACCCTCCTACACTGCTGGTGGGTATGTAAATTAGTTCAGCCATTGTGGAAAGCAGTATGGAGGTTCCTCAAAAAACTAAAAATAGAAATACCATTTGATCCAGGTATTCCACTCCTAGGAATTTACCCAAAGAAAAGAAGATCCCTGATTCAAAAAGACATATGCACCCCTATGTTTATTGCAGGGCTATTTACAATAGCCAAGATATGGAAGCAACCTAAGTGTCCATCAGTAGATGAATGGATAAAGAAGACGTGGTATGTGTACACAATGGAATATCATTTGCCATAAGAAGAAAACAAATCCTACCATTTACAACAACATGGATGGAGCTAAAGGGTATTATGCTCAGTGAAATAAGCCAGGCAAAGAAAAAGACAAGTACCAAATGATTTCACTCATTTGTGGAGTACAACAACAAAGCAAATCTGAAGGAACTAAACAGCGGCAGACTCACAGTCTCACAGACTTGAAAAAGGGACTCTTACCTAAGGGGAGGGGTGGGGGAGGGCAGGAGAAGGGTATTGAGGGGCATTATGATTGGCACACATGGCCAATCATGAGTGGGGTGTTGGTCACAGGGAAGGCAGAGTAGCACAGAGAAGACAAGTAGTGACACTGTGGCATCTTGTGACACTGATGGACAGTGACTATTAGGGGGTATGTGGTGGGGACTTAATAATATGGGTGAATGTAGTGACCACAATGTTACTAATGTGAAACCTTCATAAGATTGTATATCAATGATACTTTAATAATAAAAAACAGAAACTATACCCTCTAGTCCTAATTATACAATATTCTCTTAAATTTTCTTGTATTATTTTGTTACGTCTCTTTAAATCTTAATGTATCAAGATTTTTGTGTTATTTGGAATTCAATGTTATTTTTTCATGTCAGTAAACTCTGTCATAAGAAAAAAACAAATCCTACCATTTGCAACAACATGAATGGAGCTAAAGGGTATTATGCTCAGTGAAATAAGCAAGGTGGAGAAAGACAAGTACCAAATATTTCCCTCATTTGTGGAATACAACAACAAAGCAAAACTGAAGGAACAAAACAGGAGCAGACTCAGAGAACCCAAGAAGGGACTAGCAGTTACCAAAGGGGGGAGGGAGGGAAAGGGGATTGAGGGGCATTATGATGGGTACAAATGGTGTGTGGGGGTCATGGGGAAGACAGTGTAGCCCAGAGAAGACAAGTATTGACTGTGGAATCTTACTATACTGATGGACTGTACTTCAATGGGGTGTGGGGGGGACTTGATAATATGGGTGAATTTGGTAACAACAAAGTTTTTCACGTAAAACCTTCATAAGAGTGTATATCAGTGATACCTTAATAAAAAAATTCTTAAAAAAAGAATACTAACAGCAGATGCCCAGTGTTACCACCCTTTTTGTTGAAAGTCACTTCCTCCTACCCCACTATGACTGCAGCTGCTATCTTCTGACAATATGACTTCTGGGCCAGACACCTGAGCAGAGGCCTCGGCTCAGATGCTCACCATGCCCCATGTTCCCGGACACCAAGAGCCCATCACCCAACACCTAGACTTTTTGACTAACAGCTGATTAATATTCATTCATTGTTTTTAACAAGTAATTACCATGCAGATTACTTTTATTTTCTCTGAGAGTTGAAGCTAGCACCAATGGGTATAAATAACAAAATTTTATTTCAGTAAAGAAAGTACTTTCAGAATGCAGAGCTATAACAAAAGCTCTGTTCACACACAACCAACTTGACAGATATTCTGCAAAACCTCCTGTCCAGGCTCTTCAAAAATATCAACATTAGTAAAGAACAGACAAACAAAAAAAGCAGAGAAATTGCTCTGGGTTAAAGGAAATTACATCAACTAGATTAACTATAGACTGCATTAAAGAAATACAATGCAAAATACTTTTTCAAATCCTGGCTTGGGATTACTGGGAAAACTGGAGAAATCTGAACACAGGTATAGAGTCTATATTAGATAACAGAAATGAATCAGTGTTACATTTTCTAAGGGTAGTGATGAGGACTTTGGTTGCCCCCAGGTCATGGAAGAAGGTAAGATATAGCTCCATAGTTTGGTTCCAGAGCCATCTTAAATTTTCCTGTCACCAGAGGTGTGAAACAAAGACTATCAATCACCTGGTAGTGATTATTGGGTAAAGTTTCATCAGTGAATGGGGGTGGAGGTCTGAGTGTGTGCTCTTCAAAAACCTTAATATTGTGAAAGAGGAAAAAGAAAGCTGGAAAATTGTTCCAATTTTTGGAACCCTCAAGTGGTTAAACAGGTGAATTAAATTATCTTTATGGCCCTGCAGCAGGGGTTCTTTGAGAGGAAATCAGTCACACAACCTTCAGGGTCTACTAGCACAGACATGCGCACCCGGAGTGATTCACATCCTGTTGTCCAAGTCACAGCGGTAGAGAGTTCCATAAACCAAGGAAAACTGCTGGTGCTTGAAATAACTCTCTTAAGGTACAAATCACTTTCCTTGACAGAAATAACTGATGGGCCCTACATCGACACCAAAGTCCTCTGGTTAAATAAGAGCCTAACTCATCTGCCCCCCGCGCCGCCTTTGCTTACCACTCTCACCCATTTTAAATACTAACCTCAATTCTCTACCTGTTCAGTGTGCATTCATGAGCTGCCGCAGGGCTCGATGCTGCTCCAGGCCCTGGGGATGCAAAGGTGGGAGTGTCTGTGTGACCTAGCAGGGCAGCTTTCGAGAACCTAAAAGATTTTTTTTGTAACCTGGTTACTCTGTGCTTTTAAAACACTAATATTAAGTCTATTAAAACTACAAATTCAAAAACAGCTTTTTTCTTAAGCTTTTGTTTTCAGTTTTAAAACCCTATTCTGTTTACAATTTGGTAAATTTTAGTTTTCACTATGACGAACCTTGATTTGTGTTTGGTCCCATATTTAAACATAATTTATTAACCCCCTTAAATATTTTAAGTTGAATTTATAAGAGTAATATATTAAAATTTTTAAGCTTTTGAAATGTCTACTAAGCAAATACTCACCAAGGATTTAAAATAAGTTTAGTAAAATATAAATAAAAGTAAACATGCAAATATCATTCAGCTTAAGTTCTTTTAAACATTGCCATGCTTTTTATAAACTTAGTAAAATACTGAATGAAAAATTGTAAATTGAAAGTCAAGCACATATTTTAAATTGGAATCAGAAAGCTAATCTGATAGGTTAATATACTGACAGCCTAATATATTGAATTTGGTATACTTAAATACCAAATAAACACAGGTTTTTCTACTGATTTTCCTGTAATTACATGAACGGAATGACCCTCTTGTGAGATGCAAGGAGAATTCCACAGAGACGTCTCAGCAACTCCCGACCCATCTATCCACATGAGTCAATATTCATAGGAATATGCTTTGCACCTGTCAGACTCTCCTAGGGATGGAAACTTTATCTGATTGGATTCTGCATATCTCTGCCTAAGGATCATCACACTGAAGTCCTGTTAATGACAGGAAGATCTACTCTTCACCCAGAGAAGCTGAGAGTATAAACTGAGACCAAGGGGAGATAATCCAGTGTCCCTAAGGGTCCCAACAACTGGTCCTCCCACCCCCAGAGTCCAGGCCCTCCACTGACTACCACCCCCACCGTCTCACCTAAATCCCTACCCACATCTCCTCTCCAAAGCTGCCCTGTCTGCGTACTGATGAGATATAACATTTTCTGATTCCATAATGCTGAGACTGGTAAGATGGCCTGTGTTAACATGTGATCTCTCCCAAGGGCTTGAGTAACTTAGCTGGTTGCTCCTAAACAGACATTACAAACTGACAGCCCACAAGGCAACTTAAAGCCAAGATATGTTTGTTTGACCCAAATGATGTAATCCAGTTACGAAAGTGTACAGAAAACCAGAATATCCAGCACCTCTTGAAAATTTAGAGAACCCGGTAGCCCTAAACCCATATTCCTGAATGGCAAAAACTGGCTGGAGGTGAAGAAAATCTTCCTTTTTTGAAAAGGACATAAGGCCCCTCTGTTCACCCAGGCCCATCCATCACCCCACCTCGGCTCCCCTCTGTTCCCATTTCCCTCCTGAAGTGGGGTAGTCAACTTGAGTTTTCACACCTTTCTGAATAAAAACAAGGTCACCAGTGGAATCAGGCACCACAGACATGCTGGATAGAGTTCTTATAGCTTAGTCACACCCCTGCTGCTTATTATGTTCACAGAAAATCAGCCTGTATCACAGCTCCCAAGAGCCACTGCAATTTCCTACTGTCATTTTAAGAATGACAGATGTTAGATCTTAGTGCCCAAAATATCAGATTGACTACAAATATTCTTTAATGCAGAAGATTAAAGTTAGATGAAATTTGCGGATCATCTAATCCAACCTCCCTTTTTAATCAATGTTTGATTTGAGGTCCAGAAAGACAAAGCAGTGTGTCCAAAGTAGCTTAATATTGTACTTTCTGCATTTTACTGGATTCATTGATTTCTTCTTACATTTATTCAGACAATCCAGATAACTACTACTTAGAAACTAAAATGTTTTAAAAAAATGAATTTTCCTTGTCTAAATTTAGAATAAAAAACATGAAAGAAAGAAGAAACTCATCAAAGGTGGTGATTGATTAGACCTCCATCTCTGGCCTACTTAAAAATATTTTTAAGCACAAGTAAGAGCTGACATCAAAGGAAAATTTTAAAGAGCAATATTATCATTATTTTTGGCTTGATTTTTAAATACCAGTAAATGAATTCTCCATGTTTAAGCCTCCAAGTCCCAATTTACATACTCATCAACAGACTTCTTTAAAGGTCAAATTAAACTTGTTGAAAGGCAAAGATTAAATTATTTTAATTGGCTGAAATCTCAGTCACAAACCCTTATTCTGAAAACATTCCTGCCTACTCCCATGTAATCAACCTATTAACTTAATTCATCATTTTTCAACCCATGCCACAATTCTGAGATTGATGTTTTAGGTTGACACTACTGGTCAGTTTGCCAACTAATTATTTGCATGCTAAATTCACACAGAATTTCCTGTTATTATTTTTTCCTAAGCCCTACCACCTTTTCCTTCTGGGTTTCCAAATTCTCTCTGAGAGGTGTCTCTCTCAACATCGACTCACCTACCCAGGAAAAGCCTCTCTATGGGCTACCAGTTGCAGTGACCACTTTGGAAAGAAAGTGGAGAAAGGAGACTTCACAGGCATCAACAAATATGTATTAAAGATTTATTATGTGGCAGGCAATAGGCCACATAAATTACTTCATTTAATATCTCAGTAGAGAATTAAAAGGCATGAAAAATACATCCTGTTAGGAAGGGTCAATAAACTTAGTGCTGTACAACCTAGAAAAGAAAACGGTTTCTCATTTCAAGAAGAAAGGACTTCATGACTCTTAAAGGAGATAAAATACATAAATCACTACCTAAAACACTCAGATCTTGACCACAAGCAGGCTTACAGCCTCCCCTGTATTGTCTCCCTGTTCTTGTCACCTACATATGACATATCTTTCCATTTTTCTTACGCCTGTGGCTTGTCTCCAGATTACCTGATAACTCTAAGGGCTGGAATTGAACTCTGATTCCCCCTCACACACAGCACTAAGTAGATGTCCTGTCCTGTTCCCAGTAGTAGTCAATCAACAATTCTGAAGGAAATTACAATCAAAGAAGGTAAAAGGAGACCTAGTGAAGAAGATGGGAATAGCAAAACTGGGAGCACCCCATGCAATTACTTGAGCAATATTTGCTTAATTGGAGCAATGGGTCCTTATGGATCTATTTCAGCTATTCAAGCCTGCTCCACGAGGTAATTGTAGCATCTTTCTTGCTGCAAAGCTAAAATAACTCTAATGCCTTAATTGAGAACATGTTCCTCAACTTAGGAACTGCTTCGCACAGCTCTGAATCTAGATTAAACTCATGAATTCTACCAGGGATCTGGAACCTGCGGACTCTATGCTTAATTTTTAATAAGACTTACAGAGCCAAGTAAGGATATTCTTAGACTTGTTCATGTTTTTATTTTGTAAGCTGGATCTGGACGAATCCCTCTACCCTCACTTTTCCTTTACTTTCCTAGAGGGCATCTAGTTTCAACCTACAATACATTAGCCACTCTTCAATTTCAGATTTGGGGAAGCTGGAGGCTACTAGATTGAATCATTACAATTAAACCTATTTATTAAAAAAATGTTGATAATACAATGTTGTAAATATGATCCACAGTTGTCAAAGACTTAGTCGAAAACTGACAAAAAAAATTTTGGTCAAACAAAAATTCTAAATGAGGGCTTGGATTAACTGGCATTGTGTTTTATCCATTTCTCTTAGCTCTTGAGAGTTGTAATATTTCTTTACCTAGGAATTATAAGTGTTGGCAGATAGACCTGTGACAAACTGGAACTGATTTTTTTTCTAATACACATTTTCTTGTGATTGCAAAAGCAAAATATTCATTTGTCTATTCATTCAACAAACATTTATTGAGTACCTACTGGGTTCCAGTCATTGTGCTAGTGGAGGATGCTATGATGAACAACAGACATGTCCCTACTCTTGTGGAGCTTGGAATTAGTTATATTTGAACTGAAATCACAAGGAGAGGAGGAAGTAACTGGGAAATGGGAATGAATATTCGGAGGAGACAAGAACATTTCAGGGAAAGTAAACAATATAAACAAAAGTCCTATGGCCCTTCTTCAAGAAAGCAATTGATTAGATGCAGTAATCTCTACTCTTATTCAAAATACAAAGGAAATATATATATTTATTGTTCCATTTAAAGACACAGTGGAACTCAAAAGAAATGGACATCTTCATCTGCCAAAAATGAAAAGGGAACACATAAGCCTGAAGATGTTCAGTTTTTAAAAACACACAGTCCTTGGCATTGTATTTTATTCATTTCTGTTTTATTATTCATTGTGTTTTATTCATTGGGAGAAACTGGGCCAAATATACACCTTAAGGGCTGGCATGTTCATACCTTTGTGAGAAAGGAATTTAAGCCTCAGGCCCCATATATGACAAGACGTAGGAGTGGACATTTTTCAGACATACAAAAATTGTGCTGAGAAAACTCATAAGCATTACCTGAAAATTTTCAGCACACCCAGCATTGCAGGGAAAAGTGACTTTCTCAGATTCTCAGAAACAGATTTCAACAGCCACTCCCACACACACCGGGAGGTTTGACTCTTGAGACCGTACCATGCACCAGGACAGAGCCAACCACCTTTCCGTTCCATGCAGTACGGGAATTTGTAGCTGAGAACCTTGCATCAAAGTTGGCTTGAAAGCGGTGAACTCAGAGGACATTGGCAAGGGCAGTGGTAAGCCTTGCTCAAGAGGCCTCTACGGCCAGGGGCGTGGATTGGACTCCCTCTAAAGATGACTCTTCTGAAGGGAAAGTCCAAAGACCTCAAAACTAGGAGAATTTATGCTTAATAAGAAGTATTGTTAAATTGATTTTCAAATGAGTATTTTAACTGTACAAAGAGAGAAAGGGAAATGTAAATCTAACTCTTAAAAAGGTATAGAATGAATAAGAACAGATTGACTTGAAAATGAACCAACTAGAAACTTCTAAAAGTGAAAGATATAGTGGTCAAAATAGAAAGACTCAATATTAATATTAATAAGCAAAATAATAGATAAGACTCGGGTGAAGAAATAATTCACTGGACTATGGATCTAAGGAAATCACCCAGAACACAG